CTATTTTAGTTCGCACATGAATCGTATATCACTGCATGCAGCCTTCAGTGTGTGGGAATACATTCTTTTATACACTGCAAACCAACTTCAGTGTTAGGCAACTCCTATTGGTTTAGATGTCCAAATCTAGTACCGTTTGATTGCTAACAAAAGCCAAGTAGGCACTCGTCTTTCCCAGATAATAAATGCGTTATTATATATATATATTACATATATTATATATATATATATATATATTATGTACTGGAGCGTTATCATTGTAATTATTTCGAAAAATTAATTTTTTTTCAAAACATCGTTATTCGTCGCTGAAAATGGGAACCTCAACTGAATGCTTTGTTAGCACAATTTATTGCATACTACTTTGTACGGTATTGCATCCGCTGTGGATGTAATGTCTTTCGGATACGCATAATCTACTTCGACTATTCATCAGTTCACATTTAACGCACAATTACTTGTGAGTAGTGTTNTGTTGTTGAATAATTGTTATTGATTGTTTGATTAGAACTGACCATCCTTCAGACTTCAACTTTACGCACATTCCTCAGCTCTTCCAGTCAACCATACACTCGGAAGCACTAGACTGAACTTTCGCTCTTATTAGAGATCATCAGTAGTGCATATCTACCATCCCGTCCGGGATCTGAACTCCGCCTGGAAGGTGTGTGCGTTACCACTATGCCAACCAGCTCATGTCAAGTATGAACCAAAACCCCAATTCATGTTTGTTCAGGTGTCGTCAACCGTGGCTTAAGGGTAAAAATCTTGACATTCAAACCCAAGTTACTCCATTTGAGTCCCAATAGGACCAAACGGTAAGCGCTGCTAACGGGCCCCAACAAGAATGTGACAGCCTTTCAGTGCTCTTTGCCGGTTTTTCCACCATAGTTTTCGTCCATTAGAACCATTTGCCAAAAGATTTCAAATTTCTCCGTTGGAATAACTGAACGTTCAGTTTAGTGGACACAAGCGTATCTAGGTGCAATCGTTTACATCTGTCACAATGAACAGATTAACAAGGTAGCTTTTGTTTTTTTTTGGTTCGAACCGGAAAAACATGTTCACACAAATGGGGATTTGCTTTTACATGGGAACGTTTCTGATCACTTGAATTTTGCAATTGGGAAGGGACATATGATGACAACAAAGCTGGTATGATGATTGAAGTTGGAAATTAAACAGAAGTGGCTAATCCAAATCCATCGGTTAGGCTCGATTGAACTAATGCCCTCTTCTTCTATGCTCTTTTATTGTTAGAAGTGTTTTTCAATGAACCGCATTCATTGTGAACCTAGAATAGAAGGCATAACATACACATCAACCCGTTCACAGGGATTTGCCAAAACGCAAAGGCAGACTGATTATCCAGAAAACAGACAAGTAATTAGCTTCGTTCTATACCAAAACAATGTTTGTTCACCGGTGAATACTCACTCGCTTACAAATATCCCCTAGACAAGCTAAATGGAATCAGTTTACAAGGGTGATGAAAGAAAAGTACATGGGAAGGAAATTATTCATCTTCGTAATAAAAGGGGGCTACACATAGCGCTGAAAAGCGTTGAAAGTACTATACAGTGGTTTCAGTCTTATCAGGAGTCAGCATTAAATGTTGGCTACCTTCAGTGAGATAGAGTCCCACTCCTGGGTTTACCTTTCAATCGTCAAGATAATATCGAAACAGTGATTATTGTACTCAATTTATTTGATTAGTAGGAAAGTTAAGGATCACAAAATGCTATTCACTTCACGGTTGATTGCGGGAGGTAGAACCAAATAGATGATAATGATTCGAACTAACTACGCTGTGCGCTTCGTGCTCACGCACATTCCTCAGTTGCTCCAGTCAATCGTACACTTGGGAAGCACAAAAATACATATCTGATGATCTTTCCGGGATCCGAACTCCGGCACCGAGAACACTTCGAGAATCACTAGGAAAACTGGCTCACACCAAGGCTGCTCAGAAGTATCACATCGAAGTTTGTTCAGATATCATTTTCAGTTGAACTCACGCAGTTCATTGATAGGAAGGCCTAAGTGAATATCTTTTAACTTCATTCAGAAGCCCTAAGAATGATATATCTCGTCTATGCTGCTTTCTAGGGATTGTGTATGAAGAACATGGAACGAATCCTGATATAACTTTTACATTTCGATTTTTGAATAGCTTTATGGAGTTCGTTTCCACCGATTGGAATGTATAACGTTTTAATACCATTGAAATTAGACAGCATAAAAAGGTTATGATAGTACTCAAATTAACAGATGCTGTTCGTCTCTTTATCGATTTATTAGCCATTTAAGCGCATCGGGGTAGTCATGAATTCAAAGTGTGACTGTGGTGTCTGAAACGGCTTTGGTATGTGTCCGATATTTGAGTCACATTTGTCACCATACGTAGCGAGAGCACATTGTCTGCATACTTCACTATTCAATAACCTACGATCTGAATCATGTTTCGCCTACACTATTTTAGGCCACCAATGAATCAGTATTAAATCATCGTGACCATATGTGATTGTGAGATTCAGTTCCAAGCGTGTTCTTTACCACATGACCCAGCTTACATGCACGAGTCTCTATGGTGTATTGAAATGCAGCTCGAAGTGCTTGATGCGACCTCCACCTTCGATACACGTATCGACCTTAGATCATTCCTAACATATTGGATTATGAATGATCAATTTTGGCTTTTCACAGCTTTTTAAAAAACATAAGTAAAGCACTTAAAGTTTCAAACTTAATATTCGATATCAGCAGATACTAAATTAATAAATAATTAAACTTTGACCAGTAAAATAGTTTAGAGAGCAATGCACGAAAGCTCAACTTTTGACCTCCAACTCCGTCAAGTTCTAATACGTGAGTCCCATTTTGTAAACTCTCTCTCCATTTATCGCAGACGTGAAAATTTATATTCCACGATCGCTCTTTCAATAACTTACATGTTTTGCAATATATTTATATATTCATATGCGTTCATCTTTTCTAATCTTCTAACCATATGATTAAATTGTTTATAAGCAGAAATACAGTGTAAGCTGAAAAGCCAAGAAACTTCAAAAATCTACACTGATCCAGCTAGATACCACCAGAAATGTTTATTATCCATTAAAGTGGGATGGAACGTAGATGAGTCGAATAGCAGCGGGACGAGGTTCTAGTGCATAGTTAAAGGAACCGATAACCTAAGCGCTGGGACCAAAATAGATCCGAGATAAAATGGATCCAGGTTTCTCAGTAGCATTTGAATATTGGCCTACATTGGGGTGTAAACGAACAACCTCTGGGTTCGTTTATTATTGATCTGTATTACTTCTTTTCCCGTCGTGCTGATAACACAACCATCCAAGGAATTAGGTCTTCTTATCAGTGATCTCATGTCAAGAAGAGCATTTAAATGGACCTCTTCTTCTAGCTGTTGGTTTTCAGCTTCGATCCTGGGTAATGTGCGAATGGCAATGAAAAAACAATAGATAACTGGGGGTTATAGTGAGCTCAGAATCAAAATTCACGGATCACAATCTGTTTCGGTTTTCGTTGACTGCGATAAAATTGGGAGGTTATTGGTAAATTTTAACAAAGTTGCCAAAAAAATAAAATCACGCATATTTACGAATGATGTCTTGCAAGGTTGCAACAAGACCGCATTTTTCGGTTTAAGTTTACTTTGATGTGTACTAGATGAAATATTTTGCAATCAGTGGCGTTTGTGCACATGTTCAATATTCTTACAACCTCAGTCAATATGAATTTTCTATCTTCCTCTTCAATTTAGTCTCTTCATTCCAATCTCTATTCCGCTCTCTTATTCAAATGAGCAGCCAAAATACGGCAACCTAAACCCGCTCACGAAAGCGTAAGGTTAATTGTTGTCCAACCTGAAAGCTATCATATTAAAATCCACGACCACGTATCCATACACCACTCATTACGCCACAATGTATATTAGCTAAACGTCCATTTATGATAGCGTATCCACCATAAACATTCAGTGTGTCTGTCACCCCTTGAAATCTCTGGTAGCACTTTATATGACCCTGTCGACATCTCGTAAAGATTTATTTCGAGGCTTTCCAGTGGCATTTGACATTGGGACGTTAAGTGGCGAACACGTTTCCATGGCCAAACCTGATATCCGTAAAACCGTCTCACATAAGTACACCCTTTACCCTGTGTTCTATTGCTTCACATGAAAACACTAGAAATATGTATGGATCCCCAGATCATGTCAGATCGGTGAATGTAATCACTATTGTGAATAGTTTACTTCAGGCGAACCGATTCACAATTGAGAGTTCGGAACCTGAAAACGGGAGCCCGATAGTGTCTTCCACCACTCATTGAGAATTTTCTCCCTCTATCCGCTTTGATTGCCAGAAGCTTATCACTAATCGTTCTTCTTGTTACACTGGTCATGAAATTTCATGCTCAAACAAGTTGCATGGCTCCGGGATCTGACTTCTGCTTTCCTGAAAATGGAGTGAGAGACTTTGTACTCATTTTAATTTCACACTTTAACCATTCAACCGTAAGAACTTCACATACATGCGTGACACATCGGAATTCAGCACAGCACACTCCATTGAGTAGGACTTAATAGATGCTTGTTAGTTAATGGGTTCGTTTAATAAAAGAATAGTGATGCACAAATTTGATTGGTAAAATGATAAGCTAAAAATAGCAAGTGGTGATATGTTTAAAGTTCGATCTGGTTGGCATAAAACTGATGATCAGACTACGTACGCATGTAGTGTCTTTCTGGTTGCATAGGAGCAAGAAAGTAAAAGGTGGGAGATAGTAGACAACCGGTTGAATAACAACATAAAGAAGGAAAATGGCGAGAAAGAAGGAAGAAAAACTATTTAGTTAGTTAATAAGTTAAGTCATGTGAAACCCTAAACAATGTCATTGTGTCCTCGCCTGAGCTGCCAATTAGAACTGACTATGGTCCCAGTCCGAGCGTGACTGTTCCACATCGAACCGAGAAGCATTTAGCTATCCACTTTCTGTCGAGACACATCGCACTCAAATGACGTGTTCTCCGACGTCAAAACCGGGCATGCTTCGCTCCCAGATAGTGGTTCCATTTTCGATTGGACCTGTGGTTCTGTGGCCGAGGTCAAAAGCCACAAATTCACATCACGTTCCACTTTGTGAGGATCCACATAGGTTTTCACACTGATCCCCAAATCCGGTCCAAATGCATTGCTATCGGGAGAACAAGACGAGGGGGAAAAATCGCATCACAATCAGAACACAAATCATGCACAACTCTCTTCGGTCGTGTGTTTATGGTTGATCCCGATACATTTTGTGTGAATAAGGTTCTGCAAACTTGAAAGACAACTGAACATGGGTGACTGTAATGAACACTTTAATGGAAGCATTCAAAAGCAGAAATTACAAAGGTTTGTTAAATGTGAAATTCAAGTTCATCGATGGGTCGTTCACTGGGACGATCTCAACTGACTTAATTTGGAGTTCACTAAATATTTTATGGTTTGCTTCAAGATATCTACCTACCTTTCATTATTTCCGAATGACGAGGTATAATAATGCAGACACTTTGCTCCACAGCTTTGTTATACTTTGACATGTAAAGGACTAATTGAGGGTATTAATTTCATGGTGTCAAATCCCAGATCGATCCCACTCTAAATGTGTATGGTTTGTAGAGTACAGTATATATTACCATTAGACCACCAACACATATTTTAAATAGAACACAAGGTAGTGAACAAGACTTGTTTTCATTGATTCGCTTTTTTTGGCTAATACATGATAACTTATATAGCTAGGAAAATATACAGGAGAGCAGAGATAGTGCCTAAAATGAATAATTATAACAAATTAATAAACTTGAAAGAATATAGATAATGTCTACTGGTTTCAGTATGGTATCTAGTCCGGATATGACGAAGATTCGGGAGATGAGAGTGAAACGGGGTTGGTAAAGGTCTATGGGAGACAGCGGCCTCACAAACTGTTTTCTTTTTATATACAAGGGAGATCGTGAGTGAGAATTCTCCCTGCTTCCGCTGGGCGTTGTTTAATTCGCTTAGATTGTTGTTCACAAACTTGGTAGAGGAGGAGGGGGCGAAACGCCCTGTCGAAATCAACTAAGTGGCCTGACTCGATAACGTGTGAACAGGCCGCGTTCGTCATTGACTTTGTCACCCCAGTGTGCAACCAAGCTGGATGATGCTCACGAACTCTCTGAGTCCAACATCTGCTCGTGTGACTGATGCAAGCTGTTCTACAGGAAAATGTGAAAGAGTAAAGACAGAAACAGGAACTTCGTATTTGAACTGTCTTCTGTGGTCTGGATTCGAACGTGACACGTGGCGCTTGTCGGATAGCAGTTTTCAACACTCTCTGGCATAGAATCATCCGTAAATGACAGTCTTACGTAAACTATCCACTTTTCTACTCCAACAGTTTTCCCCTCATTTATCTGGCGTTTTAATATGCTGCGCACAAATCGATCCGGGTATCCATTTCGTTAGAAAACCTGGCGCGATAGATATAATTTGTTTGGAATTGTATCAGCCGGGGAGATTTTCTACGCTCTGTTTGCAGGACACTGAGCCAACTTTTGCTTTCTTTTGAGGGGTAAAAGACTTGAAAATGAATGTACTGCCCGGACCACATACTTCCTCTATACACCGAGGACTGGATAGACCTATCTTCACTGTGTTTGAGGCGAAAATCAAGAACTGTAATTTGGTTTTAGTAACCGCTTCTAAAGCAAACTTAATATTTGGATGCGCGCAGTTGAATGTTGCCAGCAGCTATTGTGATTACTATTCTTGTCCACGAAACACCATAAGTCATAAATACATCTTTTGAATAGCTTTCATCATTCCAATGCAACCTTAGATGATTTTGCTTTTCTAGCATTGTCACCAAGACAGCGGCAAACAACGGACTTAGGGGAGGGGGGGGACCATCGCATTGGCGTCCTTCTGACGATAAATGACAGTGTTTAATTTGAATTGTAAGCTATACATGTAAAAATAAATTAGTTGCTTTCAGTCCTCAATCAGGATACCGATATTGATATCATTTATTTAGGTGTAGTACGCCAAGTAATCGATCATTTCTGTGGTAGGAAAATTAATTAATAGCGAAGTCACATCTAGGAAAAGCACTCGTAGTCCGGTTACAATCACATCCTGAATAGAATTCTTTCAATCAGTCAAACGAGTCTCGTAGCGTATACCTCACTAGTCCAGTCCTTATATGTTCCAGCTTACTCAAGAGCCATTTAGCTATGGTGAGGTGAGTTACACATGTCTAAAAGATGGCAACCAAAACTGGTACATAAAAATGCATGACTAAAAATTGTAAGACACTGAAAACTGAATATTGGTTTGAGAAGAATACTGTTTTCATGTATTTTTGGTAGTGCGTATAACTTCGAAATCTTCGTTCCAATTGGTCGGATTCGCTTCAAAATGGTCGCATCTATTACACCCCTTTGTTTAAGTCATGATAAATTCTGGGACAACGTTTTTCAAAATGTTCTGTTCTCTCTGTTTATTTTCTAGAACTTATCCCTTTCATCGAGAATGACGTTTATCTTGACTATGTTCATGATGACCATAGCTGTGCCTTTGTGTGGTCTGGAAATTATGAGTTCCAGATTTTGCTGCACCTCTTTTAAAGGCCTTAAACGTTCAGTTGTCACCAAGCTCTCGATCGCCGTCTTGTTCCTCTGAATTACGTAACATGTGTCCACAGAGGCTGATTTAAGCTTTCTCAAGTTCAAATCCAAAGACGGAGTCAGATCTGTCAACCGAATATACAAGTTCTCAAATTCAACTGCATGGTCTAACCGTTTCGTTACTTGTTAAAGACAAAACATGATGGCCCTAATACGAGAACGTCCGGTAAATTTTCATTCAATGTAAGTGAAGATAATTTATGCACAAATCTTTCTGGATTGTTCTGGAACTCTCTGACAAACTTTGTCGGGTTTATGAGATTCGCGAACCAATCCCGCTTACGTTTCGCCTGGTTGTACACGACCGACTGAAAAAAAAATATGTCGAATCACTGACGTGCCTCCGCTGGCAACGAATATATGTGATGAAGAACCGGCTTTCGTCGTTCACGTAATATGCTATCGAAAACTAAGATAATTTAAAATATTGATACCTACTTCATAAGAACTTCGTAGTAGGATTCCGTGTGATCTTCATTTGCTACTTCTCCTTATTCCAACAACTTCGGCCACATAGACCATACAGTTTCAAACAACAGAACCCATCAGCCTTATCTTTGAATCCCAGCACTGCCGTCCCACATCCGCTCTGTTAGACAATATCTGTCAGTTTGTTTATTTTTATTTCCCCACAACATGTTTGCACTCATGCAATCATGCAATATAAATAGGTAAGGCGTAAGGTTGCGTTACTACAACACCAGTTGATTTTGGTCAATTCCGTGGTGTTTTACACGTTAAAGTTTGCAGTTGATCAATGAAAATTTTTGGTCACGCTCAGTAGCAAGATGGTGAAGATAACCCGCAGCCCTTCGGAATTCAATGCATCCCGTCAAAAGAATTTTAGTGAGGGCCCACTAACAGCACCTGTCAACTGTTTTGTTTCTTGTTGAACCCCATCATTGATGCGCATCATTTCTGTGATCCCGCTGGGACTTGAAACTGCAAATGTTCAGTCTCGGAGCCAAAATTCCCTTTCATTGAACCATTACTTGTATGAATATTTGGATTATTACGGATTCCATTCCGCTCTATGCGAATTCACAGAAACTGAGTCTGTACAGTGTAACTCAGGAGCAAGACAAAATGTGAAACGTTTTGACAGTAAAGAATGGCATAAAGATGACTTTAGTTAGTTTAGCAAGGTTTTTTGTCCGGAAGATTTTATATTCCCCATTTCCGTCTTTTAAACTACCCGGTTGTAAGATTTCATTAATCAGTGAATAGTACCTTATATGCTTCATTTTATTCATTATAAAAATTGAACACAAACAGAACTCCGAATTTAGACAAACAAACAGTAATATTGATCTCGAGGTTGTACTATCATAAATAATGATTACGACATGAATAAATTCGTCTCAGGGTTTAAACCAGTCATTAAAGACTAAAATGAAACATGACACAGGCCTCCTCCGGTTCGGGGGACGATGTTTATTTCCTGATGAATGAAACTTACCGAATGAAAATATGTACTATTTTTAAATAGATGACTCACGAATTTAATTTTTTTTTAAATGCATTATAATTGGTGACATAAATGGTACAATAGCATACATAAGAGTATTGCTACTATATGATTGCGTCGTAAGCCAACCGGCCAAAAAAGAAAAAGCTCACTTTCGGAGGCTCGTCAATACATCACAATTTATTTTGTAATGTTTTGTGGAGTAGAGATTAACTACAACACGAGAAAAGTTTTTCGATAGTTTCATGACCAGATGCTGCCCACATTTGGACATCACACAAGCACATTAGTTCTGGCCATTAGTAAGGAGATCGGGGCCTGACCCTTAGTGACAGGTATTGGAGACCGAGTATCCCCCCTACCAGTGGTTTTGCGGAGTACAGCAAGGAGGAAATGTGAGGGAGGATTCCTATCGCTTCTCTTGTGGCCGAGACGAGACTCCGCATCTCCTTAGATTGATTGACTGCTGCGGAGTAAGTGATGGGATGAAAATGCCTTGACCACATTGATCACTTGCATGGACTTCACGAGGTGTGAGATGGACCAATTCTTCAACCAAGCTGGACGATTCTTACAGATATGCTGGGATGAACGAGTGCTAAATGTATGCTGTCTCTTGAATGGAATGATAACATCCAAAAAGAGACTCGAAAAGCATATAGTTTTGTCTTGTAGCTGACGACACAATACCGGCCTGGAGACGATCACAACTCCAAGTCATACTGCCTTTTTCCACAGGGTGCTTTCTCGTCCAAAGACCGTTGTCGTANNNNTGTCGTATTGGGTTTTACTATTCCCCATTGCTTAGAGTTTAAATCGACGTGGATCGCTTTTGTGATGAAAATCAAAATCAAGAGCAAACTTCCACATGCAATTGTTTTATCTTTCATTTAATTTGTTTAGACGAGCTCTCTAATTTTTTTCAGTTCACCTATCTCCTAGCCAATACGAAGTATCGCCGAGAATCCGTATGGATCGGACTGAGTGAGGACCTTCACTTCATTACTATTTTCATTTCAAGTTATGTTTTGTGGCTCATTGAAGTGTCTGTTCTAATTGTGAGAGTTTCAGTAATCTCGGTTGGATTCGAACTCACGCATGGACGCCACTTACGCTTTTGTACGGCGCATGCCATACACAACTTAAAGAGACGGATTGAATCCACCAGGTGGCATTTAAGATGACTGTTAGGTGGTTTGGTGATCCGAATCAAAAATATCAGTGGTATCGATGTGATTTCGAAGCTCAGTTAGCAAGCAGTGCGGGGTACAAAAGCGTTGGCGGTGTTTGTGCGTGGGTTCGAATCCCATCGCGACTACTGAACTTTTCAAAATCATATCATTATTCTTAATTATTTCTCGCCTATCGTAGAGCTCATTCTGGAAGACAAACTGCCAGAGTGAAATTTCACAAACCCATTGGATATTATGTACTTTGTTTAGTAACGTTGAATGAAATTAATATTACTATTATTTTCAATTTAAGCTCATACCCTAATTGCACAAACAAACTTTAAAGTCAAAACTGTGCAAAGCTCATACGGTCACATGGTTAAGAAAATATAATGGTGAGTGGAATCGTCATATAACGCACAAAATGATTTGAAAAGGTGACATAATAGGCCTAGTAACAAAGTAAGGCAAAGGTAAAAAGATAATGTTTACTTGAGGTACCAAGCTGTAGAATTTGGCCAAATGACTCATTACCGATTACAAATTTTACCGCCGGATTTTCACTGTTTCCGCATATTACCAAACAAAAATAAAATAAAGGATACCAGATATCATCATACACGCGAATTAAAACTGCTTTTATTCGTTTTTGCAACCAGGAACGGTGGATTTTGTAAGATGTGACCAATGGATACCTAATATGTATTGTTCAAAAACAAATTTGTTTCTTTTTCAATTAATTTACCGGATTGATCAAGCTTTGTCTTAAGTGAGCCTTAAGTGAGACTTAAGTGAGCCTCTGTGTCCAATTGACCTGACTGCGGCCTCACACCCACGCACACATGTGAGTCAATTGTGAATCTGAAACAAATAATCTCAAACTTTGCGGGCGCCTCCACGTACAATTGCAATGCTTCATTCCAACAAATGGAACATAACTGGACCACATTATCCAACTGCATGAATGCTGACTTAAGCGGCTCTGCTCCAGACTTCTGGCGTCATTCAACGTAAATTGAGGACAACTGTGAGAATAGATACATAACGTTTGTCTAGAAAACACCCATAGCATTCAATTGTTTCCATTGTTGCACATCCCGGCTGTCTCGCACATGACCCAGGGTTTCCCGGGAGAGATTTTACTGTCTGAGCCATATTTGGATCGCTGTGAATTGGCGTGACTCTGGGCCCAGATCGACTCATATCAGATCGTTTCACAGTTAAGGTGAAGACTGCAATATCCAGTTACGTTTTTTCGATGGCAGATCACGTATAACTAGGGAAACTCTCAACAGCTTGCCGATTACTGTGCTGTCTTAAGGTGGGTCCAGTGAAAACGGCACAGGAACAGTGTTTTTTCAAATACTTCAAAATTTAGGTTGAGTAGATGTGTCATGTATGCACAATTTTCACAATGGTGACAATGTAGGACCGTAGAACAGTGTATGTTGTGAAAAAATTGTAAATAAATCGATGTACCAATAAATGCTGATGCGCGAGATTTTATCCAATCCCAAGCTGTTTCACAAACACAAATGCCTCCAGAAAAATGAGGTCTGGCGTTTCAGCCCTAAAATTGCCAGGACGTGCCTCATTCACAACAAAAGAGGCAGATGAAATGTTGAAAAGTCAGTATGCTCAAGTGTTCACTGCACCTGCAAATACCGGGCTATGAATGTCCCTTTTACTTGGGGACATACCATATCCAACGCTCACCAGAACTGATTTTTCCCCAATAATCATAGCATATAAATTGCAGTGTTTGAAAGGGAATTCATCCCCGGAGATAGAAGGTATCTATCCGAAAACCTTTATCAACCTGACAAGCAACAGGTATAAACCATTAAGTGAACTAGTCCAACATATGTTCGACCAAATTGGGCTCCCACAAACAAACATGGAGTCACGGAAAAATTTCACAATTATACAAAGGCGGCTATCGTAATGATCCAGCTGAAAATATGCAACGTTTTATCCCCCATTCAATAAGATTTTTGTCGTTGTCAATCTAGTACCACTAACCTGCATCTGGTCCAGGAAAAGTGGACAAAAGAAGTTAATCTCAGTGATGCATTCGACGTTTTTGTACCCAGACTTCTGTGAAGCATTCAAAGGAGTAAACCACAAAATACTACTAAGAAAACTACACAGTTATGAAATTTTGTAACTTGTACTAGGTTGGATAGAAGAATTTCTTCGACAACGCATCATGGCAGTTCGGTTATCTGAGTCACTTTCTGACCCTATCAGCGTAACCCAAAGAGTTACCAAGAGATCCGTGCTTGAACTTCAAACTTTTCCAGTTTTCATAAACGATATAACGGACATTCTGGGGCCACAAATGTTAATTTTTTCAGACGAAGCAAAAATATGAAAAACAGTGGCAAAACCTGTGAACTCAATCGTACTTCAGAGAATAATCAATGCTGCTTATTAATCACATATTGCAAATGATATCGAATTCAAAGCATCGAAATGTACGATTTGTATCCCTTCTATCTCGATTTCCGTACTTCTTGGGATGTTAACTACTTCCGTATACCTTGAATGAGAAGGATTTTGGTATCATTGTCCAAGATGACTTAAGTTGTTCTTCAGACTGCTGTAGGTCCGAGCCCCGTCACTGCCACCCAACTTGGTGGTAGACGGCTTTGCTTTCATACTGCTCAGTACCACGCCTGACCTAGCCGGGCCTTATGTGGGACATCACTCCAAGTCACAGGCCTTAGGTTGCCAGTTTCCATACCGAACAGCGGGCCCAATTAACAATGGGGTCCGCCGCGTCTGCCGTTCATCTCACAATGGTGTTTAATGATATATATATATAACTTTCTGATCAATTTTTTTTACCAATGTCGAATATATATTAAATTTACGTGTATTGATTAGATGAAGCCTTTTTCATCCTAAAAGATCGAAGAAGCTTGAGTTGTGCGAACATCATCAATGTTTTGACAAGAATCAGTGTATTGTCAAAATCACCAGCGCAGCTGTTTCGTATAAAGACAGAACCTTAGAATGTGTGCCAAATCAGCTCTCAGTTTTGGTCAGAATAAATCTCACGATTGATGTATAGGTACAATCTGCATCACTTCTCTATAGCTCACCCCATGGTGGGGAAAATCGTAAAAACGCTGTTTTTTATTAACTCAAAATCAGAGAGAACGAGTAAATTAATCAACTAATTGAAATTCGGCGTTTGGATTTGCGGAGTCGGCGTTTCATTTCATGGAATGAAAGTCATTTTTTTTGAAGTATCAAGTCCATATCAAGTAGAGTAGCATACAAGCAAAAAAATGTGAATTCATCTTACCCATGATTACGTTTTCTGAAGTTTCCTTCCACTTTTGAGCCTTTTCTGTAAATAAGATATATCTTTCTATTCTGGCATGATGGTAAAACACGATATAGCAAATCTTCCTTAGTGGGTCTCAATTCTTCGAGAGCACTGTGAACTAAAGACGAAGAAAGTGTGGTGGTTTGCAATTGTATGCATGTACGAAGTAAAAGAATACACACATGAACTCGTACCAATTGGGAATCCTTTCTGGCGGTTGTGGTCAGGCGGAATCACTCCGTCTCACCATGGCAACCGGAATGCAAACAAAATATAAAGCCTTGACATTTAACAGCTTCAGTGTTTTGTAATTTTAATCCTGTTGGAAGATTTCAGCTATGAGAGAATTGTATCAGCCATAATGGCTTCGTGGTTGAGGTAATAACGACAACTGTGTTCAAACTTTTATGCCGTCCACTACTGCCACTGTTCGCACAATCGTGGAAAACTAACTCAGTCAGAAACTATAAGGGAGCCGGATTATTGTCAACCCCTATTTAGAAGTATAGCGTATTGTGGTAAATTTCGATTTATCGTTATTTAGCTACTGATTGCAATAGTCAGTATATACATTCATTCGGTGAATTCTTTAGAACCGTAATAAATATTTAGATCTTACTAAACTCACCGGACCATGATTTTTGGTTCCAGTGCCAGCGCTTGGTTAGTACGAATATGTCGGATCAGTAGTTTCTCATCCAACTGCAAGAACAAGGAAACAGAGAAACGGATTGGAGGGGAAACACAAACAGTACTTTTGCACAAAAAAATGATTTACTCGCTGCTGATTTTATTCGAGCAAGTAGGATTGTTGCATTTCAAATCACGCATAGCATTTCAACTTAGGGCTAAAAATGCTTTCATAAGTCTTATTGCTGTTCTAATCATTTAGCCTGTTCGAAATATTCGTTCACCGTTGAAAAAATACTAGCCAATGGATCGTTCCTGTTGCATTTGGATATGCTACTGACCTGGCTTTCATTGATGTGTACTTGTTGTGAGGCTGACTATCGAGGTGAGGTTATTTGTACTGGACATTTTTGGGATTTCTATTCTCATCAAGGAATATTTTCACTACGACTTTCAGTGCCCCAGTGATAACCTTGTCTCGCTTTTCATTATGAAATTAACACACCAGAATCGTAATTAAACTTGTGATCAGCACCCTATTGAACATTCTGTTTCATTCCTCGGTACAGAGTCTGAGATAATCAAGGTCATGCACTAGAACCATGATCGATCACGATGGATGGTGTATGTGCTTCGCATGTCACGAGATACGCTCTCTCGTTGGGTGATGGTTGCCGGTACAGGCAGTGGTTGAAGGGTGGTTAAATGTAATAAGACTAAAATTCGATACATGGAAATGAATTCCATGACGGGAGGGACTTGAACATGGAGGTCGCGTTAGGCTTCGCTACAGAGGTCCTCCGGATTAGCGTAACCGATGGTTACAGACAATGAATGCCATTAGTGGATATCGTAAACTGTCGTGCTCCTGTATCTACTCTGTTTCCTTGCAAACTTCTTCTACTTGAATACTCCATTATCACATTGCTACTGCTTCCAACATTCCAGTTTTCTCCTAACGCCTTCAAACAGAATTGATAAAAGGTGAACCTTGCAACTAAGAATTTTCAATTTGCAGTGAAGTTTTGAAAGGTATTTACTGGTATTCATGTGGTTTAGTAAACAGTTGAGGGAATATTACCAAAACGGGAGTCTGAAGTTTTAGGTGAACCGTCCTCAGGGTCAAAGTACTGTTGACCGTCGTTTGTGACGCATGAATCAGGGCTTATAGCGTATTGTCATTCTCTTCAATTCAAAACTTTTCTTATCTTTTTGTTTATTCAGCCTGGCAAGAAAAAAGTAACTCGAAACGTTCACAGTAGGATGGATAAAACGGAGCAGCTATTCTGATAAGAAAAGCAGCGATGTAAAGCACGATTCCAATCAAAACCATGAACATTTAACTTGCAAGGGATTTACTTTTACCGGTCTGCCTTCCATTTCTTGTCGAAAGTTTGGATCAGCTGCTTCCAGACACCATTGTGCGGCAAAACTTGGTTCATTGAGTTCCAAATAGATTGACTGTGTATCCATCAGCAAACTGGGATCTCCGATTCTTCTCAAATCACTGGCTAAAAACAATCTCTTTTTGGCATTCTTGTCATTTGAAAAGGATTCAATTGTTGGTTCCAGAACAAACATGATTGGTTGACCATAACGAATTGGACTACCCTCGTGAAAATTTCCGCAACTGTTGAATGAAGAAAGGATTAAAATTAATTATGTATTCCATTTATAGGCATATATAGATACATATTTAACACCAATCTTTAGCGATACGGCCTCAAAATAACCATGGGTTTAACGCAAAAAATAGGAACAGAAGGGGGAAAACAAGAACAGTCAACTTGGGGAATAACTAGTGTTTTTTTGTTTACTGCAAGCCATTTGAGTTTTTGTTTTTGTTTATTTTTTGGGATTGCACACAGAAAAGGATGCATTTACGCCACTGACTTCAATTCGATGCCATATTCCGCAGTATCTCCAGCCAAAGACAGTCGAAATCTTTGGGGCTCCGTCCGGGGAGCCGGGAAGCACCAGCGGAAGCCAGATCCGAGTACAATATCTTTAACCCTCTGAGCCACATCATAGCCTGCCAACCTCGCTGTTTCTTCTGGCCAGAAGAATTCTCTCAGACAGTTTACTGACGTTAGAAATATTGTTTGTTTTCTGGAAGCTCATACTATCCATGAACAAACATTTTTGTTGCTAAAATCAGACAGTCAGCTTAACCTTGAAGATTGCCTAAATTCAGGCGAATGGAGAGAATTTTGACGAGTTACATTGGGAAATTATTTGTGCAATAAGAGCCATAGCTCAGAAGGAAAATTACTGCATGAGATAAAAAAGAAAACACAACATGAATGCGATAGGAGACTTTTCAGGTCCATAATGATAGCTGTCCGATTTGAAAAGAAACACTCAAAATCAGGGATAGTATAAATTTGGTATTACATGCAGAATGTGGCTGTATTTTGGAACTGCTATGCAATTGAAACACATCTAGTGAGGCGGGCATTCAGACGGTGGTCTTCATTAGATGTTACATTGGCGATGATTCGTTTAAATGCACAAAAATGCTTGCACACAATAGAATCAAACAAGGGAATCATGTGAGAGCTAGTGGGTCCAGTGAATCTGGGAATGAGGAGAAACCTATTCTTTTCAGAGTTTCGGTTTCGGTTTTTGCTTCTCTTGACCGTTAACCATGTACCTTCTTGCGGACGCGTCACGGATGTAATGTCAGTAGGCACACAGAGGGCTCGGTTAGTATTTGCATAACTGAGACATTTCTTGAGGCTTCGTGACATCAGGCTCTTTTAGTGAATGGTTGAATGTATGCTACAACAGTCGGGTTGTGCCGATTTAGGATTTAGAGAAAGGGAAAATTTACTGGAAGAATATTATCACCCGTGTGCATATAAAGAAGTTGTCACAAACCTCAGGATTACATTTATGGGGAAGGAAAGGTTTCTAGGTGTGAGAGCCTAGAATAACAGTCTTTGAACACTAATCTAGATGTTTTGAACACGTATTGAAGAAAAATTGGTATGTTACGAGGTAGATGCGATTACTGTGTTGAGTCAACCTTGGGTATGATAATATTATTACCAGCAAGCTCTAATTGTTTACCAAAATAGGTATGCTGATTGAGGCCTGTTTTAGGGCTCAAACGAATATTGAAATGTTTCAGCACATTAGGCATCAAAGATTAGGACTTAAATCAACTGAAACTATGACTTAGGCGATCTAGGAGTTATCGAAAACTGTCAAGACTAGTGGAGGAAAACCAGTGTACAACGTCATTAGTGTATTTCCATGCAACAAAGTTGGAAGGGTTAGGAATGTTATTTGTGTACAGTGGGTAAAATAGAGACAAAGTTGCAACCTGAGGAGTCCCGAAATTGCTTTCAGGAGATAAGGTTTGTTATGTTTTTAGATAGACCACAAGCTCGTTTGTTGTATCGAACAAGAAATTCTTGTACGGTCACGTTTTCCGCTAATTAAAATACTACTTCGTTCTCGCGTGCTGCGTTTTGATTTCATTGCGAGAACTATTATTACACCGGGTTATTACTGAGCGGGATATGATACATACAGGAGATTGTAGTGCTTGACGGAATCTCAAAAGATCTAATCGCAATAGAAGGAAAGTCGGTTTGTGTAAAAGGTTATTGATAAGTAAATTCAGTATGTAAAATCCCACGCAATAATCATAAAGATTTTGTATAAGGATGCCACTATCAGGCAATTCATAAATAATAAAATAAGTAAGGAAAAATTTAAAAAAACAGTGCTCGACTCTTCACTTAATGAGGAAAGAAACGGAGTGGTCAACATGAGAAACTGCAAAAGTGAAAATTGAGGATTTGCAAACTAACCGGAGGATTGTGAAAATCAGATAAGGAATTCATTCAGTTTAGAAATATTCTTTTGGAATCCCTTAACATTACTGAGATATAAACAATGCCACAAAGATATAATTGCCGCATCAGTTTTATCATTTCTTATTTATGGTCTATCAACCTACTTGTTAGAAGCAGAATATGAGCAAAACGCTATCGGGTACTGGAAAATTGTAGTAAAAAGTACTTAGGAGTTCAAAGTGCAATATTGATTATCAGCTGTTATGTGACCACAATGTCGCCTAATTTGTGCATATTGCCCCTGCTGAAGTTGATGTTATACACACCTGCCGATTTTGTTGCACTCAATGAAGTGTTATTATGTGTAAACAATGATCAAAATAGGGTTGAGATGATCCGATAATTTTTCAAACTGATGGCATAAGGTCTTCCGTTAATCAATATAGTTATGCAGAATGTATATAAATTCCCTTTCAGAATATTCAAAATCCGCATATTTCCCTGTTTAATGGAAAAGTACATTGATTTTTATACTCAATAGCACTCGCAAATTTGTTCGCTGTCTCATTCACTCTTAATTAGGATGTTGTCCCGGAAGCACTCTGAGTTTGGGCACTACTGATGCCTTTCTTATATTTTTAAACAGTCCCACGGAACACACAATAAATATCATTTTGTGTACTTGGGAAGTAGATTAATTAAGTCACATATCCGTTTGTTTTACACCTTACTAACTGGAGAGTCCCAACCCTTGCAGAAATTTAGAACAGGACGGTTTGGACAAGTGCTTTTCCGTATTCTAGAAACTTTTGCAGTCACTCGAGCTCCCATGGCCGGATTGCCGACAAGTGACAAGTCATGTAACATCCGAACAAATGATAATTAGGTCCTAACGAATTCTGGTCAGGAAACAAATTATGATGCAATCTCCTGAACATTTTATTAACATTCCTTTTTATTTGCAAACCCATATACGTAACAGATCATATGTTGTGCTGTAATAACGTGATGTCCTGGAAGCTAGCTTTTCTGCCATTTTGTGTTTGTATGATGAATTTCTTATTCTATGTCAAATAATTAACGGAAGTATGAGAACTTGAGTTACTATTAGTTCTCATCACCCATTGCGCTACGTTCCTTTATTTCCTTTGAAACTCCCTGACCTTGAATGTTCAATGCACCGTGTAACACTACCGTACTTTTTGTTCCATCTTTTGTCCTTCGTTTCAGCTAACTAAACTGTTGAAGGGTAACATTATTTTTGTAAGACAAATAATTTGAAATACACTGCGGCTTTATACTTAAGCCACAAAAGACAGTGTGAAGGCTAGTTTTATTTGTTAGCAAGCACTGGTTTTCTCCATTAACGAAAACCAAAGTTTAAATTACTGTATTCGTCAAATTTTAAATGTGATAAAAACAGTACTGTTTTACTGCTCTTCTAATTCGATTTAATTATTTTTCTGCAGTATTAACTTTCCTCTTAGGATTTGTATTTTTCTGTAATTATTTATATTTAACATTTAATTTTATTGACCAAGTGGTAGAAATTTCTCAGTTATGTGTTGTATGGCAGTCCTTTGATTGGCCGCTTTCTCCTTCATGAAAATCATATCATTGAATATTCAACAAAAGGAAGTATAAATTGAAAAATGAATTAAACATAAGGGAGCTAATGGTTAGCATAAGCAAATTCGCCCGTACTTGAACTGGCGGGCATTTTACTACAATTATCTATTACTTTAGCAGCAGTGCTCACGCCATCGACACCCTGAAGACTTAAACGAAAATGGAGCATAACTAGATAGCGATTACACACGATGACTTTAAGTAACACTTATAAATAAACACACTTTACTTGGCAGTCCCTTTGAAAAAGAACAGAGCAAAAATAAAACTTGTGCGTAAAAAATAATGCTTTAGTGATCACCAACATATACACTTGTGTAAATAGCAATAATATTTACTCATTGTTTTCCATTTGATTGCATAAGTACGGAATATATATACTAAGTAGGTGTTATGTTGGTCTGCTGGTGTTTGTACATCACTCTTTTTTGGTCCGGAATAGATACGAATTCGTCTATCAGTCAGAGACCTGAAAGTTTGAAGATTTCGACAGAAATAAAGCTCACACAAATTTCCGAGACAACAAGATAGAAAGTTCAAGGAAGACTGCAAACTGTTAAGCCAAATGGAAAATTGTTAGAGCATTCACTGTATGTATGCAACAACAAAAGTTGTCATCTCACAATAAACAAATATTTGGTGTCGCAGTTTGTACTTATTGTTGATAATGCATTCAAATTTGGGATCATGGAACAAAGTGTGATCTTAAGAAAAGCCCGCGGCTCCTATCAATAATAATACAATCACACCAGACGATCCTTGTCCTAGACGAATGAGGAAGGAAATACATCCATGTATTTAACCAATATCTAATCACGTGTTAATTGATAAACCCATCTGATCTGATTAAGGATATAAAAAGAAAGAACTTGGAAAATTTGTTTTATTACTGGCTTTTGAACAAGCATGGAGCCAACGCAACAACAATAACAACAAAAAATGGGAGTTGGGGGAGTTGATCGATATGTAACTCAAACGCTTACAGTTATTTAGGAGAATAAGAATATTTTATTGACACAGTATTAAAAAGCAGATTCGTAGCTCGAGTGAAATGAATTTAATTTCGCCTGTCCGCCGAGCTTGACAGTTCGTTTGCAAACGTTTTATCACCAGCAAAAGTGAGATTGTCAATGCTTGTGAGATGGGCCAGTTTAATATCTCTAGCTGAAATCAAGCTCCCGAGGAACTTGAAGATACTAACTACTTTCAGCTGATTGCCATAATAGAAGAGTGCAGACACAAGTTCTTGCCTAAGAAACAAGATATTCTTCATTTTTAGCCAGTTAAGTAATTTGTGCGAACTATTCTTTCTTGCAATTTTTGTTTTAGCCCTGAAAATCATGTTTAAATTGAACCGTATCGGAAAACTGATTGATTCAAGGGGAAGTCTTTAATTGACTCGCGCATCTCTGTGCATTCACAAGACGGGATGATAGAAGGAGGGTAAAGTCGAGATATCGGTCATCCAACCGACTGAACCAGGTATCACACTATAAACTAAGTTATTGAATTTGGCTCTTGATTTATCAATAAATGAAGATAATTGATTGTATTTACTGTCATGGGGTGAGGTTAGCTTTTGACAAGCAATGAAAATTAAATAAACCGCTTGACTTTATTCAATTTTCTGTAACAGGTTGTGGTCCAAANCCAAAGAAGTCCATTGTGCCCTAACCGCAATCAATGTGCAACTGATACGAAAAAAATTCAATAAATTCGTAGACCTTCTAGAGGAATAAATATTTAAGCTGAACTAATTTTACTCCAAACATCGAGAGTAAGAAAATATTTAATTCAACAATTTAGAAAAAGCTGCAA